AAATTTCATTTTCAAAAAACTATTTTATGAAATACCTTTTTCTAAATGTAGGTTTTTTTTTTAAAAAAAAAAATTATTTCTATTTGTATAGAAATTAATTATATATAACTGTACTTGAAGAATTGTGTACAATTATGTGTTATTAATTTTTTGTCTTTTAATTTACAAAGTAATCACTTTCAAGAATACTTTGCTCGATCAAACGAATTTAGAAATTTCCAAAAAAATAAATCCCAGAAAATTACTTGATTATTGCAAGGGAATCAATACATTGGTATACACACAGTAGTTGTTATGAGGGTAACCACACTCAATGAGACCAACCCATGAGATGTCTGCACTGGGCATCATGCTCGACGTGTGCGGTAAAACCAATAAATTTTACAAATTTTACCGGAAATTCAGGTAACTATAATTACGTGCGTTTGTTATAAACGGTAAAGTTTCCCCTCACGCGCTTCTGGATCTGCCCCTTTAAAAAGTATTTTTTTCTATAAAAAAGAAAAAAACCTCTCTCAAGTGATGTTGATTTTGGAATATATTAGGTGATAATGGAAAAAATGAGTAAATGTGTTCACCGTTTGATATAATTTATGTTTCTAATATAGGCCTTGTTTGGAGAGTATTTTTTGGCTAATTTTTTTTTAAAATAAAAAAATAACAAAAGATTACATCGTACACATTAATTAATTATATTTTTTTCACAATTATCTATTCAATTAAAAAATTATTCCGAAATATATGAACTTTTTTCACCTTATAAAAAATTAAAAAATTATTAAAATACCAAGTTCCCAAACGAGATGTTATTAAGCAACAATAATTTAAATAAGTTGAAATAAATTAATTATTTAAATATTAGAAAATAAGTATTTTTAGTTTTTACTTTTTAACTATCAACTTTTAATATATATAAAAAAATACAATACCCATTATGTTTTGTTAAAATGAGATAAAAATTAACAAAATTTAAAAAATTATTTTTTGCTAATGGATAAAAAATTATTTTTTGCTAATGGATAAACAAAAAAACATACTTAGGAGGAAGGAATTCATTATCCTAAGGAGGGCTACTTATCTATTGATTTTGGAAGATTGTTATTGGCCATAGACAAACTTGGGATTGTAAGACAAGTTGTGAAAGTTTGATGCTCTCCCTCTTTTAGAGTGGTTTGAGATGTTATAAATAAATATATTTTTTTATTTTTTATAAAATAAAAAAAAATATGTAGAAAAATAGAGAAAGTGGGTAGAAAAGTAGAAAATAGATGTTGATTGATGTGACCTAAATAAGTATATGTATACAAAAAAAAGTATATTTTTTTAGTGCATGTAAAATACCTACTTAGTCTAATTGCTTCACCCAAACATGGCCTAGGAGGGAAGGTTTTAAAAGAGAACGTATATTGCACGCAGTGTGGCGTTTAGTGGTTAGATATATCTCGAGAAAGAAATTAGAAAAGCAAAGCAAAACCCGGCCTCCTTTGGAAACAGGCTAATTTAGTAACTTTTTGGCTATTTGGTTAAAAAGGTAGGTAAAAAAAACTTGTATATTTGGGATGACTTTTTGGCTAATTACGAAAAGATGTACAAAAAGTAGAGAGAAAAGAGAATCTTTGACTTTTTGGTATGGGTTGTTGGCTTTTTGGTTAATTTAGTAACTTTTTGACTAATTGGCTAAAATAGCCTCTTGCCAAACGAGGCGTACTGTATCCCAATTTATAAATGGCGGCGAGTTCTTGGTTGCCCGCCACAGTATTTGTAGCTGTTAAAATAAAAAGTAAATTTGAAAAAAAAAAAAAAAAAAACCAACAATTGGAAAGGGATTTTAATTTTAATTTTTTTTAGAGCAGGAGTAAAGAATTGTTAACACCAGTATTATCACCTTAAAATAATTGAATAGTTTCGTATGACCATTTGATATTGTAAAGATCACAAAACATACTAGTGAGCTATATTTTGTTTATCTCACTAGTAATTTTTTTTTATTATGCAATTGATTCATTGCACAATTGATTTCGGGTATGATGTAAAATATATAGCATTATAGATGAAATGATTTTATGTTACGGCTGTGTCACTTGGCTGAATTGACTTAATGTACCATTTTATTCATTATTTATTATGTGGTAAAAATAAGGAAATTAAGATCACTTGTTCCTTTTAGTTCCCAAAAAAAAAGAAGAAAAAGATCACTTGTTCCTTTTGATGTTATTTCTTTGTCATTTTATATTTTATTACTTCACAAGTTATTCATATGAACAAAAATGATCTTACCAACTAATAAGATTTAAGAAGATAGAGAATAACATATTATAGGGACAAATGATCAAGATTTAAAGGCTTTTTTGTTTGCTGCTATACAGCAGTTTGGACTGAACTAATAATGATGAACAGTGAATGAATATCATGTTTGTTTTATTTATGGAGGTCCAGGTTCGTAATCTCTTCGAACTAAGAAAAGCTTTGGTGGAATAGATTACGAGTTTAGGAGAGGAGATGATACTAAAAAATAATCTATTCGACTTAGAGTGTTACCAGTCATTTGAGGAGACATCCGGCCAAGTACAATTTTTTTTATTTTTAAACATGCTGGACAGCACATTTTGAAATAATATTATTTAATAAATTATGTTTTTTATTAAGTACAAATCATGATTTTTATTTGTTTTATTGTTTTATATAAACATAATTTAACAATTCTCATATTATCAACTATAATCAAAATAAATACAATTTTATTTAATTTTTTTCCTATTAATTCCATCTATTCTATATCTAAAAATAAATAATTCCGAAAATACCACCTAAAAAGTCATTTTGTACCTGGTATGATGCATTAAATGTCTAGTCATATCAAATTTTAGTCTTCATTTATCCCACACAACAAATATAAAGTCAAAGAGCACATGTGACAAACTTATTGTAAAAAGATACTTTCCATAGTCACTATTAAATGGGATATGATACAAACAGAAAATTTATATTAAAAAAAATACCTATTAAAGTAATTTACAATGAAAAGTGCTAACAAATGCATCCATGACACTTATTAATATTAGGAAAGTGAAAAAGTACATTGAAAAACTGTATTAAGATTATAAAGTGTTTTAAAATGTATAAAAAAATGTATTAAATCTAGCAACAAATGTTTCAGGGTTGATATTTCTTTTGTCTTTTTCTTGTAACCGATTTATAATTTTTAAAATATTATTGTCACATTTTTCTTGTAAAAATTTTCTATACAAATTTATTGCCTATAAATCATTTTCTATTGAATAATGGGTGTTATTACCATGTATCCTTAGACTATATGATAAAAGAAGTTTAAAAGTATTATATATTTTTTATTATACTTACTTTGATGCATAAAGTATAAACAAACAAAATATCTTAACATATGTTTTAAGGGCACACATTAACAAAAATTAACATATATTCTAAGGGCACACATTAATAAAAAAAAATTGAATAATTATCCTTTTATGAAAATAAGGCAGCCTAGTACAATTTCAGACAGTAGTACAATTTCAGACAGCAAACTAGGATGATTAAAATACCCTGGATCAATAAATTGATTAATGGTTAACAGCTGGTAAATTATATTAATGGGTCGGTTAGGAAAATTGTAAAGGTAGATTTGGACAGAGATTAATGAGTCAAAGGTTACTGTGAATGGCTTTCAAATTTGACCGACATTTTAAAACTGGGCCGAGCATCTTGGGCCTCACGTGAGCAGTCACACATACTTCGAGATTAAGCCATGTGCTGACTCATCACCCATTTGATTTTCATTCATTGGACCAACGTCTTTCATTCGGGGTCCATTCCACTACGTGTCTCAATGTCAACCGCTCATTGGACTGCGGCGGGTTCTAATATTAGCGTCACAGATCATCTCTCTAAAAATCAACCATGTGGTGACTCATAAATTCACAATGTGGTCCGAATATGATTTACAAATAGAATTATACGCAATTTGTTATAAGAATGTAATTTAAATGAGTTTATTATATCTTAATATAATTTATAAATTTATGTTAAATTATTTTGTATAGTTTATTTTTGTAACTTATTAGATAGTAATATTTTAAATTAGTTAAAAATTTTAATTATCTAATAAGTAGGGGAGAAGTCCTTCTATTTTTATTTTTTAATTATTAACTTTTTAACTTACAAAAGTATAATCAAACCGGGACATTTTTCATAATATTATTGGATGTAGAAGTCACTATAATATTTTTATATATATATTTTAAGTTGGGGGGCCTAAAACCTTCCAGAATATTTTGAATAAATTTTCACTATGAATTTTATGTTTTTATAGAATTACCTCAGCTCCCTTTGAAAAGTTGATAAAAAATTAATTTTTTGACTTTTTTAAGTCAAATTATCTCCTTATTTGTTGACATATAAAAGCCAAAGAAATTATAAAAAAGCTAAAAAGTTAATTTTTTACCAACTTCTCCAAACACCACTTAGTATGATTTGAATAATATGGCAATGGTTGGGTCTTAACTACTAGATATTTAAATTAATTAAAAATTGACATGGAATAATTCATATCATTATAGGCATATATAGAAATTATATTTTAGGAGTACCAAACCTTTTGTGTGACAAATATGAATAAAGGAAGACCAAAAAAGAAGTGTTCAGATTAGCTCGCTATATTATTTGTACATTATGTCATTCTAATATTAATTGACTAAAAAATGGACAAATAACTTATTTATTTTGTTAGAAATGATTGACTGGTTGATGTTGAATTTAAAATAGTTTATTTTTTAAAAGGCAAAATCAACACAATTTGAACTATAAAAATAAAATTAATACCAAAAAAACAAATTACATGAACTATTTTTATAATTTGCAAGAAATTTTGATAAATAAAGAATATTGTATTAGGTGACATATTTAATGAATATTTCAAAAAATACTAATGTTCTGCATATTTTGGGGTTTCTAATTTCGGCTGCTGGATCCTATAAAATAGCCACTGAAACACACTCTGCTTTTCTCTGTCTCTCTCTCTCTCTCTCTCGCATCGACTTATCACACTCCTTTCTTTTCTTTCACTGTGTCTGCTTTCCTCCTAAAATTTTCCCAGAAAATCCTACCAAAACTTTCCCAGAAAACCCAATATCCATTACGATTCGTGAATATTGGCTGATTACTTACTTTCCTTTGTTTGGTCGATATTGTTTCTCTGTCTGGAACACAATAATCGATCTCTGTTTTCAATTTTCTCTGCGTTTGAATCTTCTGTTTTGACGATTCATTTCACTTTCTTCTTCATCTTTATTCCACCTCGTGTTGAGCCTCTCACTTCACTCTCTAAACCCTCTCTCTCTCGCTCGCTTTTTATGGTTTTCAATACGAATAGTTAGAATCTGAGTGACAAATTGAGAAAGAGATGGATCAGAGTATGTCATGGCCGACCAAATACACCGAGCACCGAACTGTTTCTAAAAAGTTTACAAAGCCCCCTAAAAAACCCTCCGATAGCCGGAAAGTACCTGAACACAACTCCTCCGGTACACCGAGACTTGTACTGATTTCGGTTACCGATCCGAACGCTACCGATTCATCGAGCGACGAAGAAGACGAGCTTTTCAGCAGACAGCGCGTGAAGAGGTACGTGAATGAGATTCAAATCGAAACTGTTTGTAAAAACAGTCTGATTATCAAGAAGAATATTCCGGCCAATCGGAAGACAATGAAGAAGCCGGTGTGCTGCGGCGCCGGCGGTGGTGGTGTGAGAAAGTTCCGGGGAGTACGGCAGCGGCCGTGGGGAAAGTGGGCGGCTGAGATTCGAGATCCAGTGAAACGTGTTCGGCTGTGGTTGGGCACTTACGACACTGCCGAGGAGGCTGCGAGGGTTTATGATGACGCGGCGATTAAATTGCGTGGACCGGACGCGCTTACTAACTTTACTTCACCTCTGGCGAAGGAAAGTCCGGAGATTAATATGACGTCAGTTTCCGGCTACGAGTCGGGCGACGAGTCTCATTCTCGTTCTCATTCTCATAGCCTATCTTCTCCCACATCAGTTTTGCGTTCTTTCCGGACTAATGATGAGGAAGCTGAACTTAAGAACCGGTCTAAACCGGGACCGGTTCATCAAGACATTAAAGGAGCTTATAATTTTCTACTCGACATAGTTAACGAACCGGTTCATGAGCCAGATCCGTGTCCACCACCGGTTCAAGAAGTTGAAGAGTGCCAAGGCGAGACTAATTTTCCTGAGATCGCCGATTATTTGCCCATGGACATACCGTTCCTAGACGATTTCTTTAATTTCGAGTCACCCGAGCCGATTAATTTCGATGACTCGCCGGTTCTCCCTGATAACTTGTTGAGTAGTAACAACAGTGAGATGTTTATCGATTCGGTTCATGATTCTGAATCTTCATCATTGTGGGAAGTTGATGATTTATTTGAAGACCTCGGCGGCGATTTTCTCATCTCCGATCCGCTAATGGCACTATGAGAGTCCGGCACCCTCCGTACTCAATGGAGCATTACTGCCGTTGGATTGTCGAATGTTCGCCAAATTTTGTATCAACGGCAGCAAAAAAAATCGGCTAGATTTTTTAATTTATTTGTTAAAAAATCTGGGTTAAAATTAGCAGAGTAATTAAGATTTTTATGTTGTTACGTTAGCAGAGTAAAAAATCTGAGTTAAGATTTTTATGTTGTTACATTTTTTTTTTCTGGGTTAAATATGTTGTTATATTAAATAAGTCTTGTAAGAGTAATTATTTAATGAGACTATATAGTACGTGCTTAATTTATTTCTTCCCAATGTGTTAATGTTATCATATGGTGTCGTTTCATGTGGAATTGTGTCTGTTAGATTCTTGTAAGTTGGTACTCACAAAATGGCTTTTTATTTAGGAACTGTTTGAATTTTGAAATTTGTTAGTACTTTTGTGAAGGAAATTAAAATAAAATAAAAAAATGAAAGTTAAACAAATAGATCATATTTTATCAAATTTTATTTCACAAAAATATGTATGTAAATCTAAATTATTTCCATAAATTTGTATTTCAATTAAAAATAACTCAAATTGAGATTTATGATACTAATTATGTCACAGATCAATCTAAGAATATATCAATGTCTTTCAACTTGTAAAGTTCTACTTACAATTTTTATTTCCTCATTTTAAATATTTTTTTTTAACTATTAATTTCGTTTGTTTAGCCTTTAAAATTTTTAATTTCTATTCATGTGATCAAATTACAGATAATTATTCAAATCAATAACTCTTGAAACCTAATATAATGAAAAAACTATTATGTCAGAATTTGAGCAATTTATATCCTACAACAAAACACTCATTTTTCTCAGTATCTTATATAAACTACACTCCACAACTTATTTAAAGGCATTTGTTTGTATGATTAAATTTGTCCAAATTACAAAATTATATTTTTACTCATCAAATTAAGATTTAACAATTATTGATTTGCACAATCATCTTGAATTAAACCACATGGATAAAAATAAAAATAAAAATTAGAGATAGTTTAGGAATGAAATAGAAATAGAAAAATTAGTGATAGTTTAGAAAATAAAAGTAAAATAAACCCTTTACTCAAGTGATACAAAATCTATTAAATTTATGTGTCATGCCAAACTAGGGATGGCAATTGGTTAGATGTTTTCAAATTTCACATGTGAATTATTTATTTTAAATTTAGTTATTTTAATGATACAATTTCATACTTACTTTAATTCTAATAATTTTAACTTATCTATAGTAATACTTTATTTTAACCAAATCAATATTTTCCCAAATATTTTTTTATTAAAATTGGGCTAAAACAAATACAATCAGGTCAAATGACAAAATTGTCTCTACTCAAAATATAGATTAAAAGTTAAAAAGAAAATTTTGAATTTAGGGTGAATTAAATATATGAATCACATTTCACATATATAGAAGGATTATTATGTTTGTGATTTAAATTTGTGTAAAAAAATTGTAAAAACTAGAAGATTGAAAATGGGTAAAGGAGTGGGTTGGGGGGTTAAATAAATAAAAAATGTTTGGAAGCTCTAAATTGAGAGTTTTAAAGGAGTTTTAGAGAGTGGGTTTCACTTACTGGGATGTTTTGACTTTAAATTTTTTTCTTTTTAAATTTTTATCTCATTAGTGATCAATTAGTGTTCTACAATTAATGGAATGAATCATTATTGTAAATAAATTCAAAGTGCCAGAGTGGCATTCTTTTTGTCCCACACGCATAGGCGCAATCAGCGGTTGTGTCTGTTTGACCGAGTCGGGTCGGTGCGTGTGTATGGTCGTACCAAATATCGCATTCAAATATCTTTTCTTTTCTTTTTCCTTTTATTAAAGATTTGGTTCAGCTAAACACGTGAGCTTATCAGTCTTCTTTCTTATTTTTTTTTTTTTTTTTTTTTTTTTTTTTTTTTTGGTTAATTTGATTCATATAATACCACAAGAAAGGTTCGTTTCGGAAGTGAGATGACTTTTAATTTTATGATTTTTTTTATTATTTTAATTTGAAATTAAAAAACTTAATTTGGAAAGAATTTTTAATTTTTTTGACTTTTTAGTAAGAGAAATAATGTAATGATTATGTGTTAGATGTGATGTTTTGTCTTATTAGACTAAAAAACTTATTTTATTTTTTGTAGTTATTTTAACTAAAAAAAGTTCCAAACCTCTCTTCCCAAATGGAGCTGAAATAAGATACATGTAGATGGAGAAGTTTAAACTATTGACCTGTAGTAATTTTGACTAATCAGACTAATCTCGTTGATTGCTAACTAGACTATTAATAAGGTTTTTTTTTTTTTTTTGCCTTTTTCCTTTTCATTCCTAATATAAAGTATGAAGTGTGCAAAGCCGATTATGCAACAATGCTTATGAAAAAATATAATATATTTAAATTAGCAAAGCGTGAGATTAGATTTCAACTTAACGTGACCAAATTGTTGTAACAAAAAAAAAAAACACATAGAAGTTACTATTGAGAGAAGAAATATTTACTACAAATATTTTACTTCAGGTTGATTTGATCAACACTGTGTATAATAACATAGTTGATTTGATTCAGGCACCGTTTGGCAAGAACTAAACGAGGTTTTTTTGGCTATTTTAACCACAAAAGACAAATAGGCTATTTTAGCCACAAAAAACAAAATATCACATCCAACCCATAATCATTACATTCTTCTTTCACAAAAAGTCAAAAAAAATCAAAAAGTCAAAAAGTCCTTCTCAAACCAAACTTTTTAGCCCAGCTAAAATAGTCAAAAAAGTCAAAAAATTAAAAAGTCAACCCACTTCCCAAACGGAGGCTCATATGTTTTAGTAGAAAATATTGTCTCGCTAAAAATTTCTTAAAATAAATGTACTAATTATTAATCAACATTGTGTATAATAATATAGTTGATTTGATTTATATGTTTTAGTAGAAAATATTGTCTCGCTAAAAATTTCTTAAAATAAATGTACTAATTATTGTATTAAGGATAGGTTGGCAACAGGGATAGAAGTATGGTGCAGGTGGTGGTCGCACTCATAAAATTTTTGTTCAGAAGATATTTTTTTTTCTTCTTAAAAAGAAACCATTTTACGTTCAAATAAGTTTTTTTTTTTTTTTTTTGGGGGGTGTTTAACTTTCAGTTTTCATTTTATCTTAACCTAAAAAAATAGGAATAATATCTAGGGGTGTTCAGTGGATATTTTGATTTGTCCAAACTGACCGAACTGAACCAATCCATCGCATTTTGGACGGATGAGTGATGACGAGCGGATGGTTGCGGATTGATTTTTTCTAATCTGTCTAGTTTTAGACATATGGCGGATTTGAGATTCCTTTAGTTACAACTGAACCGTCAAACCGTAAGCATCCCTAGTAATTTGTAAGATTTTGTATTTTCAATTTGTTTAAATATTCTTTGTGTTTTCAATTGAAAAAGAGTTTTATTGTGTTTTTAATTTGAATCCTTTTATCAAATAACAAGTGTTGATATTTGATATTTTGTATTGAAAATAATGTTCAATTTTGTCATTTTAAAAAAATCAAATTAAATAGTTTTTAAATAAAATAAAAAAAACAGTAATGAAATAGTTTTGATAATGTATGATTTTCTTATATATATTTATTATTGGTATTTGACAATTTACTTGATAATCTTTTGATTATATTGAGTTGAATTATTATTCAAAAAATATATATATATATATATTGACAAGCTGTTGTATTATATTCAAAATTTGTAAAATTTTAAACCGTCAAATCGATTCGCATCTATCTGTTAATCTACTTGATCCGCATCCCCCAATCCGACGGACGGAGATGCGCATTGATTTTTTTCAATCCGCCAATCCGGCTGATGGATAGCGGATTGGAGATTTTCCTGTTGCAATCGAATCGCAAACACTCTTGATAATATCTCTCAAAAAGTATTTTTGACTTGAACAAACGGAGAGTGCACGAGTTCAATTTTTGTTGGCCATTAATTGGTTTGCAAAATTTGTAATATACAGATTTTTTTTTTTTTTTCTTTTTCCATTCCTAGATAAAGGAAAACAGAGAATGAAGAGAAAGCAAAACAAACAAACTAACAAAAATAATGAAGATGAATAAAATTGCAAAAACGTGCATCAAATTGTAAACAAAGACAACTTTATCTCAAACATGACTGACTATCTGTTGACAAATTGTAAATGGACAGTTTAGTTTTATGGATAAAAATATTTCAACGCATGATGCCCAATTAAAAGACTAGAAAAAGCTTGATGAAGGGGACCTCTAATATTGTTGTCATCAAAATGAATCACATACATACATGTGGGTATATATATGTACTAGTTTTTTTATTTAGAGGGTATATATGTGCTCATAGTTGTGTCTCCACCAAAGTGGTTGGGGAAAAGTTGGAATTGTCATTCTTAGGGCTTATTGAATCTTTTAGAGATATTGGATATAAATTGGAAATTAAGAACATGTTTAGATTAATTGGTCAAATTATAAAATTGATTAGATTATGTCAAGGAAGAGCTAATTGGAGGTAATTTCAAGCTCTCGTGAGCCTATCATGACTCTCATCTCGATTATTTAAATAGCTCACGTTATAAAAACAATTAAGAAGATTATCCTCACAAAAATCTAATTGTTTGGACAACAATAACCATATGATTATATCACAATTGTTATAAAAATAAAAATAATAAATAGATAGCAATTGTAATTTTCAAAATAGATCATCCATTATTTTAAAGAGAAATGTAATCTAATAATATGTCTACAATTATTCGATCCAATATTTGATTCATCAAGAATTCTCTACCAAAAAATGATCAAATTTGAATATTATGAACCAATTTATTTTTCTTTTTGCTTTACATCCATAAATGTAAGATTTCCCTGAGGAAAAGGAAGAATCAAATTCCTACTATTTTAGCAAGTTAGCAAACAAGATTAATATTAATGGATATTTAATGATTTTCCATAAGCTTGAATCCCAAATCTCACCCAAGAAATCAAGGGAAAAAATATTCTTTTTTTTTTTGCAAGGTAGAAAAAGGATGCGATGAGGTGTCGTCACTGTATCTGTAGGCTCAGGCCCTAGGATAACTGGTTGTCAGCCTGATTTAACCCAATCCATAGGAAGGAACCGACCATCGAGGCACCAGCATAACTCAACCATACACCACAGACGATCCTAAGATTCGATCGGAATACAGAGTGAAGTCTCCGCAGAGAATTACTGGAATTACCTAACATTTCGCTCTCCCTAAGAGTCGAACCTGGGTCACGCCT